GGCTCAAGAGAGCTAGATGATATTCAAATATTGCTTTCTTCAAGCTCAGGATCAGTATATCCCTAAGAGCAAAAAATCAGGCAAGGGAAGCAGGACACCTGTGTGGTTGAACAGGGAGCTTCTGAAAAAACTGACCACTTGGGAAGATTACAAGAATGGGGTTAGAGTATGCAGCGGTGAAATGGGGAAAGCCAAGGCCTCCTTGGAATTAAAATTGACAAGGGATGTCAAAGTCAACAAGATGGGTTTTTTCAACAATTTTGGAGACAAAAGGAAAACTAGAGAAAATGTGTGCCCACTGTTGAATGAGATGGATGCCATGGTGACAGAGGATGCAGAGAAGGTGGAATTGCTAAGTGCCTTTTTTGCTTCAATCTTTCCTGCTCAGCCCAGCCCTCAGGAGTCCCAGACTTCGGAGGTAACACAGAAAGTCTGGATGAAGGAAAAATTCCACTTTGTTGAGGAAAATCAAATTAGAGAACAGTTAAGTACACTGGATATCCGCAAGTCCATGGATCCTGGTGGGATGCACCCATGAGTGCTGAGGGAGCTGGCAGAAGTCATTGCTGGGTCGCTCTCCATCATCTTTGAAAGGTCCTGGAGAACAGGCGAGGTGCCCAAGGACTGAAGGAAAGCCAATGTCACTCCATTCTTCAAAAAGGGTCAGCTTTCCCTCCATGTCTGGAAATGTGATGGAGCCGCTCATTCTGGGTGTCATATCACAACATTTGGAGAAAAAGAAAACTATCACCAGCAGTAGTCAACATGGATTCACCAAAGGGAAATCAGGTCTGACTAACCTGATAGCTTTCTACGATGGCATGACTGGACGGATAGACGAGGGGAGGGTGACGGATGTTGTCTACCTTGACTTCAGCAAGGGTTTTGACACAGTCTCCCACAGCATCCTTATAGGTAAATTCAGGAAGTGGGGGTTAGATGAAGGGACAGTGATGCGGACTGAAAACTGGCTGAAAGACAGAGCTCAGAGGGTCGTGATCAGTGGCACAGAATCTAGTTGGAGTAACGTAACAAGAGGAGTCCCCCAGCGGTCAGTACTGGGTCCAGTCCTCTTCAATATTTTCATTCATGACCCAGATGAAGATGGAGTGTACTGTGAGCAAGTTTGCTGATGACACAAAACAGGGAGGGGTGGCTGACATCCCAGAGGACTGTGCTGCCATCCAGCGAGACCTGGACCGGCTGGAGAGTTGGGCAGAGAGGAACTTTATGAAATTCAACAAGGAAAAGTGTAGGGTGCTGCACCTGGGGAGGAATAACCCCATGCACCAGTACAGGTTGGAGGCTGACCTGCTGGAGAGCAGCTCTGAGGAAAAAGACCTGGGAGTTCTGGTGGACAACAGGATGACCATGAGCCAGCAATCTGTCCTTGTCACCAAGAGGGCCAATGGCATCCTGGGCTGCATAGGGAATAGTGTGGCCAGCGGGTCGAGGGAGGTTATCCTCTCCCTCTACTCTGCCCTGGTGAGGCCTCATCTGGAGTACCGTGTCCAGTTCTGGGCTCCCCAGTTCAAGAAGGACAGGGAACTGCTGGAGAGGGTACAGCAGAGGGCTCAAAGATGATTATGGGCCCAGAACATCTCTCTTATGAAAAAAGGCTGAAGGACTTGGGTCCTTTTAGTCTGGAGAAGACTGAGGGGGGATCTGATCAACGCCTGTCAATACTTAAAGGGTGGGTGTCAAAAAGATGGGACCAGTCTTTTTTCAGTGGTGCTCAGTGACAGGACAAGAAGAGGTAATGGGCACAAACTTAAAAATAAGAAGTTCCATCTAAACATGAAGAGAAACTTATTTACTTTGAGGGTGGCAGAGCACTGGAACAAGCTGCCCAGAGAGATGGTGGAGTCTCCGTCTCTGGAGACATTCAAAACCTACCTGGACATGTTCCTGTGCAACCTGCTCTAGGTGGACCTGTTTTGGCAGGGGACTTGGACTAGATGATCTCTAGAGGTCCCTTCCAACCCCATGTGATTCTGTGATTCTGTGAAATATGAAAAAAAAAAGCTGTGCAACAGTAGCTGGGAGAGAAAAGTGAGAATATGTAAGATAAACAGCCCTGCAGACACCAAGATCAATGAAGAAGGAGGTATTCCAGGTGCCAGAGCAGAGGTTCACCTGCGGTGAAGGTCATGCTGAGGTAGGCTGTCCCCCTGCAGCCCATTGAGGACCATGGTGCCACATCCACACTTCAGCTCGTGCTTTGAAGGAAGCTGTGACCTCGTGGAGAACACGCTGGAGCTGGCTCCTGGCAGGAGCTGCAGCCTGTGAAGAGAGGACCCCATGGAGGAACAAGTTTTCTGGCAGGACTTGTGACCCTGTCAGGGACCTGTGCTGGAGCAATCTGTTCCTGAGGAGCTGTACCCCATGAAAAGGACCTACATTGGAGAAGGTTGTGAAGGACTGTCTCCTGTGGGTGTGATACCATGTTGGGGCAGGGGAAGAGCGTGAGGCAGAAGGAGTAGGAGGGACAATGTGTAATGAACTGATGGCAACCCCCAATTTCCCATCCCCCTGTGCCACTCAGGGGCAGGAGGTACAGGAGTTGGGAGAGAAGTTGAGCCCAGAAAGAAGGCAGGGGTAAGGGGAAGGTGTTTTCTAGATTTGTTCTTGTTTCTCATTGTCCTGCTCTATTTAATTAGCAATAAATAAATTTCTCTAAGTTGAGTCTGTTTTGCCTTTGATGGTAACTGGTAAGAGATCTCCTGGTCCTTATCTTGACTCATGAGGTTTCTGCTGTATTTTTCTCCTCCTCATCCTGTTGAGGGGTGGCAGTGAGACAGTGGCTTGGTGGGAACCTGGTGGCCAGCCAAGGTCAACCCACCACAAAGCTAAAATTTGCAACTCTACCAGCTGGTAAAAATCACTGACTAAGACGCTGCCTTTTTTTTTTTTTTTTTTCCCCTGCCGTGTAGCTATTTTTATTTTTTTTAATTTGCTGGTGTAAACATCCAGCATGCAGGTGTCCACTTACCCTAATCCTTGTTTTATTCCCATTTGCTAGATCCCACCCACAGATTTCTGCAAGTGTTGAATAACTCCAAGTCCTAACGTATTTACTCAGAATGGCTGGCTGCCAGTCCCTCAAGAGCCGCAGCTTGATCGTGCATTGAAGTCCCACCCAACAGCATCTACTGGATTTATTTTGTGGATGGTTACGAAAAGTCTCATGAGAATTACTATAACTATACTGAGACCTCCTCCAGCTTCAGCAAAGTGCTGCTTCTGTGACATCTACCAAAACAGGTTCCAGGCTCAGCAGATCTCGCAGCTCTTGCAGGAGCAGGTGCCACAAAATGCTTACTGCCAGTCATGCATGTGCCTTGTTGGTCCCACTTCTGGTGTGTGTGCCATTGCAACAATTTCCAGAAGGTCACAGGTTGGCTGCTGAGTACAAAGGTAGTCTCCTTGTAATGTATTTTCATCCAGAGTCCATGGGAGTGAGCTCTAAGAGGGAAATTCCTGTGGCTTTTCTTCTTGCTGTTTGGCACAGTATGGGCTCTTAGAAATTTCAAAATGTTTACACTTGTGGGCAAGGTTACACAACAAAATGCTAACATTTAAACAGACAGAGGAGTTTCTTGGTGTTAAAATAACTGTGTGTCAAATTGAAGTTTTGTCCTTTGTTTTTTCCCTTGCAGAATGTGTCAGCCTAAACTCATCAGATACTAAACGCTGGCAGTCTCTAGACATATATTTATAAATTTATCTACTAATCATGAATTAATTTTATATTTTAATATTTTTTGAATATCCACATATACAGATTTATTTAATACATACCTTTGCAGTAAGAAAGTTTTTAATTAGAAAAACTTCCAAGCTGATAATATAATAAAATCAGGAAAAATAAAAAAATTACTTTTTGTGAAAAAGAGACATTTTAATCTAAAGGAATAAACCCAAAGTACATTTTTTATCAGCTTTTGCAGCAAGTATTTTGAAAGGGACACAGAAGTAGCTCTGCTAACTCATTAGCACGACAGACTTCATCAAAACAGTCAGATCCCTTGTACAGATGAAAAATTATTTCTGTCTTAAACTTCCTTTCCATCTAGTGACCACTTACAGATCAAAACATATGTAGAGCATTTGAATCTAACATGGGATATAAAATGAAGTCCAGATGAAGAGAACTTCATCTGTACACAGAAGAGTATTTTAAAAGCAATTTTCATTAATTAATTTAATTCATATTGAATTAGCATCAGCTTTTTTGCGTAATTAAAATTCTGAGTAATTACCAAGAAGAGAATGGAATTCCAGATTGCTTTCTGAACAATTGCGTGAGTTGCCTGAAATGATCTTTTCTCAAAGACATCAGAACCTAGAGAAGTGCACGATTCTGTTAATATTTGCACTGTTTCAGATCAATTTGTGCCTTTTTTCACTCCAAAAATTTGTTGTTTCAACCTTGTGTTGGAGCACTCCAGCAGACACTTTGCAAGTTTGCTTCCAGCATTTCTTACCCTTGAACAGAGCTCTGCTCTGCCATATTTCTTAGAATAACTTTTCTCAGGTTTCATTTAGTCAGAAATTTTAACCAACAAAGATAAATCCATTTCTGGTTTAGTATTACTAAAAGTATAAACCGGCAGATAAAACTCTCCATAGCTCTCACCACCTCAATAGTTCCTCTTCTTTTTCTGAGGGGCTTAATTCAAATTTTAGCCCTAATGGGTCTTAATTATAAATGGGTTCTTTAAAGACTCGTTATGTTGCTAGTGCTTTCAGTCTAAAGAAGAAATAAGTCTTTAGGAAATCATTTTGATGCAAAATTTTCTTAGTTCTTAAATCTTTTTACATTGAGAGTTTTTCCAGAAGGACTATCTACACACTTGAAAAGGAACACAGAAACATACTTTATGTAATAAAGGATTTCTCATAGCTGCATAGTTTGGGGTGGGGATTTCGCGACTTTTTTTCCGCTCAGTTCTTCAAAGTCTCAGAACAAAGTCTCAAAGTCTAGCACATAAATTGGCATGGCTTGTCAAAAGGGCTTTAAACTAGGCTTGAAGGGGGAGGGGGTTAAATACAGGAGCACTAGAGACAAGCTTAAGGACAGCCTCCAGCCTGCCATTGGACTTGAAACAAGAAATAATGGACCAAGAGCCCCTGAGGTAATAGGAGACAGGAGGGTTGCAGCCACAAAGCATCTTGGGGGATCAGTGGAGTGTCCCTCTAAGAACGTGACGTGGCCAGCAGACCAGCTGAAATGTCTCTACACTAATGCACACAGCATGGGCAACAAGCAGGAGGAACTGGAAGCTATCCTGCTACAGGAAAGCTATGACATAGTAGCAATTACGGAAACTTGGTGGGATGACTCCTATGACTGGAGTGTGGCCATCGATGGGTACAAGCTGTTCAGAAGGGACAGGAGTGGAAGAAGGGGTGGAGGTGTTGCCCTCTATGTAAAGAAGTGGCTAGAATGTGAAGAGTTGTTGCTAAAGAGTAGCCATGACCAGGTTGAAAGTTTATGGGTAGGAATTAGGGATTGGGACAACAAAGGGAGCCTTGTGGTAGGAGTCTACTACAGGCCGCCTGACCAGGCGGAGCCTGTCAATGATGCCTTCTTACTCCAGCTTGAGGAGGCATCACGATCACAGGCTCTCATCCTGCTGGGGGACTTTAACCACCCCGACATCTGCTGGAAAAGCAACACAGCTGGCTGCAGACAATCCAGGAAGCTCTTAGAGTGCCTAGATGACAACTTCCTGCGACAAGAAATTAACAGCCCTACTCGAGGAAATGCATTGTTGGATCTGTTGATCACAAATGCAAGTGAAATCATCAGGGATATCAAAATTGAAGGTAGCCTAGGCTGCAGTGATCATGCCCTAGTGCAGTTCACTGTCCTAAGGAGTTTGAAGCTCACCAGAAGCACAGTTAGGACTCTAAACTTCAAGAAAGCAAACTTCCAGCTTTTCAAGGAGTTAGTAAATAGGACCCCATGGGAAACAGCCCTCAGGGACAAGGGAGCGGAACAAAGCTGGCAGATTTTTAAGGATGCTCTCTATAGAGCACAAAAGATCTCAATCCCCACATGTAGGAAAATGGGCAAGGAGGGCAAGAGACCACCATGGTTGAGCCAAGACCTGCTGGTCAAACTAAGGGGCAAGATGGGGCTACACAGGAAATGGAAGAAGGGACAGGCATCCTGGGAAGAGTATAGGGATGCTGCCAAGATGTGTAGGAATGAGGTCAGGAAGGCCAAGGCACAGCTAGAACTGAACTTGGCAAGGGACGTAAAGAAAAATAAGAAAGGCTTCTACAGGTACGTTAACCAGAAAAGGAAGGTTAAAGAAAATGTACCCCCCCTGATGTGCAACAGCGGGGAACTTGTATCAACAGATGAGGAGAAGGCAGAAGTTCTCAATGACTTCTTTGCCTCGGTCTTCACTGGTAACCCCCTTCCTCCTAGTTCTTGTGTTGATGACAAAAAAGTTGGAGACCAGGGTGACAAGGTCCCTCCCACTGTAAGTGAAGACAAGGTACGAGATCAACTCAGGAGCCTGAAGATATACAAGTCCATGGGACCTGATGAGATACATCCCAGAGTCCTGAAGGAACTAGCTGATGTAGTTGCCAAACCACTTTCCATGATATTTGAAAAATCATGGCAGTCAGGTGAAGTCCCTGCAGACTGGAAGAAGGGGAACATCACACCCATTTTTAAAAAGGGTAGAAAGGAGGACCCTGGGAACTACCGACCTGTCAGTCTCACCTCTGTGCCTGGGAAGATCATGGAACAAATCCTCCTAGATGCCATGCTTGGGCACATGAAGGACAGGGAGGTAATCCAGGACACCCAACATGGCTTTACTAGGGGCAGGTCCTGCCTGACTAACCTAGTGGCCTTCTATGATAAAGTGACTTGGTCAGTAGACAAGGGGCAACCTATGGATGTGATCTATCTGGATTTCTGTAAGGCCTTTGACACGGTCCCCCACAACATCCTGATTGCCAAATTGGAGGGGTACGGATTTGATGGGTGGACTGTTCAGTGGATAAGGAACTGGCTAGATGGTCGCATCCAGAGGGTAGTACTCAATGGCTCAAAGTCCAGATGGAGACCAGTCACAAGTGGTGTTCCTCAAGGGTCCGTGCTGGGACCGGTGCTGTTTAACATTTTTATCAATGATATAGACAGGGAAATTAAAGGCACCATCAGCAAGTTTGCGGATGATACCAAGCTGTGTGGTGTTGTCGATACACTAGAGGGACGGGATGTCATCCAAAGGGACCTGGACAGGCTGGAGAGGTGGGCCCAGGTGAACCTCATGAGGTTCAACAAGAGCAAGTGCAAGGTTCTGCACCTGGGCCGGAACAATCCTCGCCACCAATACAAACTAGGGGGTGAGGTGTTGGAAAGCAGCCCTGAGGAAAGGGACTTGGGGGTGCTGGTGGACGAGAAGCTGGACATGAGCAGGCAGTGTGCAGCTGCAGCCCAGAAGGCCAATCGCATCCTGGGCTGCATCAAAAGAAGCGTTGCCAGCAGGTCCAGAGAGGTGATTCTGCCACTTTACTCTGCTCTGGTGAGACCTCACCTGGAGTATTGTGTGCAGGTCTGGAGCCCTCAATACAAGAAGGACATGGACCTGATGGAGAGGGTCCAGAGGAGGGCCACAAGGATGATCAAGGGGATGGAGCACCTCTGCTACAAGGACAGGCTGAAGGAACTGGGGTTGTTCAGCCTGGAGAAGAGGAGGCTCCGGGGTGACCTAATAGCAGCCTTCCAGTACCTGAAGGGAGCCTACAGGAAGGCTGGGGAGAGCCTGTTTAGAAAGGCCTGTAGTGACAGGACGAGGGGAAATGGCTTCAAGCTGGAGGGGAACAGATTTAGATTGGAGATTAGAAGGGGGTTCTTTACTGTGAGGGTAGTGGAGCACTGGAACAGGTTGCCCAGGGAGGTGGTTGAGGCCCCATCCCTGGAGATATTCAAGGAGAGGCTCGACGAGGCCCTGGGCAACCTGGTCTAGTTGGGGGTGTCCCTGCTGACTGCGGGGAGGTCGGACTAGATGACCCTTGGAGGTCCCTTCCGGCCTGGGAAATTCTATGATTCTATGATTCTATGAAAAAAGGAATGTGAACAAATGGAGTAAATTAGGAATGGCTGAAACATTAGAGTAAAATAGAAAAGGACTTCTGAAGCTCTGACTCAATAGCCGTGATGTTGCAATTCAAAAGGACTACAAAAGCAGTCCCAAAATAGCCAAACAGCTATGTTATGAATGCTAAAACAAAACTTCATATCGACTGTGTGACATACTATGAGACTGGGAAGTGTGTTGGTTGTCAGTTCCTCAGCAGTAAATCTAAAGATTGTTCATGGCCAAAAGCTGATGATTAACATCAGCAGATGGGAAGACTATCTGCCAAAAGAGTAGAATTTAAAATTTATTTATTACCAACTGTGCCTTACTTATTTTGTATATTCTCTTATTACGCATTTTTATTGCATAACATATGCCACTCGGAATTACATTTACAATTTTTCCTATTTCCCCGTAGAAAAACCTAAGAGTTGACCAGAGGAGAATAAACCTTATCAGCTGTTTAGGAAAGAAAACTGTATGTGGACCTGATGAAAGGAGGCAAAGAAAAGTACTCACAAGGAAAGGTTGTCCCACCTTGCAGAGAAGAAAGCGAGACACGAGAACTGCCCTCTGTGGAAGGCAGCTGACAAAGGACAAGCTCTGCATCGTCTGCTGGGTTGCGGTACCACAGTACCAGCAGGGAGCCCAGGGTCAGACTTCAGGAACCCCTTGCAGATGCCACCAGGTGTGGGAGGTCAGAGGAGGCTTCCTGGGGAGTACAACAGCACCTCTGCCACCACTGAGGTCGTTAAGAAACGCATCTTGAATGATAACTCTCTGTGATGTTGTCCTGGGACAAAGGGAACAGCCTGGGGACCTCATGAGCATGCTGCTTCTGTAATTCTGTGCTGTAGTGATGTTTAACAGTAGTATGAGAAGAGAATCACACAGTGGAAGATTTGCCTTAAAAACATTGCAGTGGCAGGCAGGGGAGTTTTGCAATTGTAGGGGTGTAACTACCAGAAAAGCTGCAGCCACACAACCCCGATCTATTCTTCACAAAGTGAGGCTCACGTGGTGCTAACACTTCTGGAGCAATCCAATCACATCCTTTAATAATTAGAGGATGGAATTTGTAATGCTCCAACTGTACCAGGAACTTCAAGTCACACCCTCCTCTCCGAATTACACTACAGAGCCTATAGATAAGTACCCGTGATTCATTTCCCACACCGGAACATGCACTTGATCTTTGCAACTGGTTGGCATCCATGTTGAAATGTTAAAGTGTCCCGTGATATGAAAGGTGCTTTTCTACCTTCTAACTCTTACACTAACCCTGACATTTTGCACTTCTAACTTACGGCTTAAGCCCTCTTGCAAGCAGCTCCCACATCCTACCTGCTACCTAGTGGTTGTACTTAGTCATGTCCTGACCATTATCCAGCCATCACAAGAAGGTGGAACCAACATTTCTGACCATGAAGCAAGGCCTAGGGACCTCAATAACAGCTAGGTCTCTGTACTCATCCACCTTGTGCATCAGGTAGCAAAAAGCAGGAGTAAGGAGAGGCATGAAGTAGTGGAAAAGGAAGATACCCCATGGGACCTTTAGATGTAGTTAACAGGGGCAATTGGCACAGCAGGTAGAGGTTAGGGTTGCTGTGGGAAGCTGGGGAATGGCTGAGTGTCTCTCTCTATGAGGGTAAGGACTGCATTTGGAAGTGGAGGAGCACGAGAGAGATGGGGAGAAGTCTGGGACAGTCTTACGCACACAAAAGCATTTTCCCTAACAAAATCACTGTACCATGTTGTTTAGGGGAGAGGACACACAGGAGACTACCTATAGACCAGCCTCTCAGGCCTTCCAGTCAGGTCTTGCTTCCTACAGTTTAGATGCCACTCAGGAGCTCAATACGCTTTCCTAGGACAGGCTTGCTTCTGCTCAAGTAGCAGGCATCACGACCTGCCAGCAAACATCACTGTAAGCAGGTGGCCACTGGCTTTCAGAGCATGGCTGAGCCATCAGCTGGCATCAGCTAGGACATTGCCTCCAGGAACCTTCAGAAGGATATTGTTGCCCTGTGTGAATATACCAGAATATGCCAGAATATGCAGAGCAGCCCTGAGGAGAAGGACTTGGGAGTGCTTATGGACGAGAAGCTCAACATGAGCCGGCAGTGCGCGCTGGCAGCCCAGAGAGCCAACCATGTCCTGGGCTGCATCAGGAGAAGTGTGGCCAGCAGGTCTCGGGAGGTGATTCTGCCCCTCTACTCTGCACTCGTGAGGCCCCACCTGGAATACTGTGTCCAGCTTTGGAGTCCTCAACACAGAAAGGACATGGACCGGCTGGAACAGGTGCAGCAGAGGGCCATGAAGATGATCAGAGGGATGGAGCACCTCTCCTATGAAGACAGGCTGAGGGAGCTGGGATTGTTCAGCCTGGAGAAGAGGAGGCTCCGGGGAGACCTTCTAGCGGCCTTTCAATATCTGAAGGGTGCCTATAGAAGAGCTGGGGAGGGACTCTTTGTCAGGAAGGGTAATGATAGGAAGGGGGAAACGGTTTTAAATTGGAAGAAAAAAGATTCAGATTAGATCTCAGGAAGAAATTTTTTACTATGAGGGTGGTGAGAGACTGGAACAGGTTGCCCAGGGAAGTGGTGGATGCCCCATCCCTGGAGGTGTTCAAGGCCAGGCTGGATGGGGCCTTGAGCAACCTGCTCTAGTGGGAGGTGTCCCTGCCCATGGCAGCGGGGTTGGAACTCGATGATCTTTGAGGTCCCTTCCAACCCAAACCATTCTATGATTCTATGCCTTATGTGTGGGTTGATTGTTGTTAAATCCTATTTTAACCAGAAATAAGAGTAGATAGGTGGGCTGAGGTGAGCTAATGTGCCTTCCTCAGCAAGACAACTCCTTTCGGTTGAAGGCAGGATTCTTGGCGGGTACCTGGGGAAACACAGAGGTGGCAGCACCACAACATTTGAATAACCCCAGTGTATGGAACTGGCTGACAAGAGCTAATAGACTAAGACGAATTTTCTCTTTGTTGATTCACGTGGTCTTTGCAAATTACCTGGGGTTCTGCTTCTCTGTCCCATGAAGATATCTAGTTGGGCTGTTTGCTGAGTGATTCTCTTCCACTTCTTTAGCTCACCTTTTCTTTGGTACCTCATAATAGTCAAAAAGGTTTTCCCTACTGAAAATGCTAGAAGGAAGGTTTATACATCCGTTATTGACTTGTGTGTGCCTCTCTTCCACCTTATATGTAATTTTCTTTACACTGATTTCCTTCTGTCATACCATTACTTTTATCCATAGTATCACAGTGATTTTCAGAGGTCTAGCAGATTAAAATTAAAAAAAGGGCTCTTCAGTGAAATGGAACCCAAGTACTGACCTTTGATGCACAGAGAACAAACTGACTGAAAATTAGTAGAGTTTTGGCTATGAGTTTCTGATTCTACATTGATCTCACAATTCACACAGGAAACAGTTCAGAGCCAGTGAGACACCACAAGTGCAAACATGTAACGCTGACAAAAAAATGGTGACTTCTAAAGGGCGCATAATAACTTCATGAGAAGCTTTAATTAAGGAAAAAGTATCAAAATATCCCTGGGAAACCCCCCCATACTGTAACTCTCCTACACCTCAAAGAAAGCTGCAAGGTTTATTCTGAGGGTTTTCATAACAGATTGCTGAACTAATAGGTGTAACCATCTCTGATAAATTCTTCATAATAAGACTAATTTACTACATGACATGTTATTTCAAAAATAACCTCTTGTAGTGTTGAAATACCATTCTGGAAGTTACTGAAATAGAACATCAGACACTGAAATGCCTTCTAATATTTGAACTATTTACATTTTACTGTTCTCATGTGGGAGATGGATAGTTTTTAGTTTTGTTCACAACAGTGGGAGCACAGAGCATTCACTTTTAAAAATGAATTTGCATAGCTTGCAGTCAGCATTTGATCCAAAACCCTGTTTACTTCACAAACAAACTTTGTGATCTCTTTCTTGAATAACTAGCAAGTTTTATGAGGTATATTTCTCAGTAGAAATCTTGGAGAGAAGGGATTTATCAAATGTGAAAGCAAATGTATTTGGAGCTACTGGAATTGCCTTATGTAAATGCAATGTGGGAGGAGGGAATGAGCGGAAGAGAAAGACAGATAAAGAGAGAAATTGCTGCAACTTGGCTCACATAACCCCTTGGATAAAGGCTGCAGAGGTCTGAAAGAAAAAGTTAAATATATTTTATATTTTCTTAAGCTTGTAGCCCTTTCATCTTTCCCTAACATATACTCTTCCTACAGACTGATACAAATGTTCATCTGACATAGATATAAAAAAAATTAGTTTGTGCAAGTTCCGTCTCAGACAAGGGAAGATGATTAATATAACCTGTGCACAAAGCTGCTGAAAGAACATATTTGTGAACCTAGTTGTATCTCAATGTTTTTATCAATGCTTTGGATGCAAGACTTGAATGCACTATTAACAAGTTTGCTGAAGATACCAAAATGGGAGGTGCCCTTGACTCTCTTAAGGGACAAGAGGTGTTGCTGAGGGATCTAGACAGATTGGAGAATCAGGCAATCATCACTGGCATGAAATTTAAGAAGAACAAATGCCAAACTCTGCACCTGGAACAGAGTGACGCCAGACACAAACATGAACTGGGAGAGGAGTGGCTGTGGAGCAGCCCTGCAGAAAGGGATCCAGGGGAGCTGGTTGGCAGCAGGCTCAGTAGAGTCAGCAGTGTCTCCTGGCAGCCAAGTGGGAAAACCACAGCATGGGGTGGATCAAACACAGCTTGGCCAGCTGGTAAAAGAGGGGATTATTCTGCTGTATTCGGTATTAGTGAGGCCTCACCTGGAGTACTGTGTGCAGTTCTGAGCCCCACAATGTAAGAAGAATGTTCAGATACATGAATGCCTCCAGAAGAGGGCATCAAAGCTGGTGGAAGGGCTGGAAGGCACACCCTGTGGGGAGCGGTTGAGAACTTTGTCTAGTTTGGAGAAAAGGAGTCTGAGGGGTGACCTCATCACTCTCTGCAGCTTCCTAAGGAGGGGAAGTGGAGAGGGATGTGCTGATCTCTTTTCCCTAGTGATAGGATGCCTGGGAATGGCTCAAAGCTCTGCCAGGGCAGGTTTAGACTGGACATCAGGAAGCATTTCTTTACTGAGAGGGTGGAGAAGCACTGAACCTGGCTTCCTAGAGAGGTGGTTGATGCCCCAGTCCTGGGGCAATCCTGTCAGTGTTTATAAGGCGTTTGGACAATGCCCTTGATAACATGCTTTCACTCATTACAGGACTTTTGAGTTGGCATCTAACTGGCTAATATTTTGTTTATGGCTATGCTTAATGGGGAAATAGCATAGACCCAGTGAACGTGTGTTTGAAGTTGTGTTGATAGGTCAAAAATTGTTCTATGCTGGAAAATGTATCTGTTTTGGATAGAGATGAGCATACACTGATTTTCTTGAGGTCGTGGTCAAGTGACTGCCAGATGCCGGATGCCTCCTGTTGCAAGGGTTTGTGACAAGGAGAAGTATGGCTGCAGTACTCACAGCTATGTTCTGGTGCTGGTGTGGTTTTGCAAAAAATGGCACATCAGTAAGAAGAAAATTAAATTACCTACTCAGCTGAGGGCAACAGACTAGCATCACAAAACAGCTGTCTCAAACTCCTTTTGGAAGCCAGTATCAGGATAATAAAGTAAATAATAAGGACATAAAAGGAAGCTGTCACTACAACAAGCAGCAAAGTTACCATTCAGACACACTCTCTCAAAGTAGCTGAGGGCAAATCT